CTAAGTGGAACGTGTGCGCTGGCCCAGACTCATTCTGTGCTCCATTGTAATTGCAGCATTCTTAGAGCTCTGCTTTCATCTACAGTGCTGCCTCGCTTAACGGGCGCTCCATTTAGCGACGAAACCGCATAGCGACGAAGTTTTTGCAATCCTAAAAGCGATTGCATTGCGATGTTTTAAATGGGTTTTTTTCGCTTTGCTATGATCGGTTCCCTGTTTCGCTTACTGATCATCACAAAGCGATGATTTTTTAACAGCTGATCGGTGGTTCCAAAATGGCCGCCGGGTAAAAAAAATGGCCACCTTCTGTGTTTAGGGACGGATTCCTCACTTAAGAGGAAGTGAACATGGCAGCCGTATGGAGGATCTTCGCTTTAAGGTGAGTTTTAAGCCCATAGGAACACATTAAACAAGTTTCAATGCGTTTCTATGGGCTTTTTAAAATCGCATAGTGACGAAATCGCTTAGCAGCAATTTTTGCTGCACGGATTAACGTCGCTATGCAAGGCACCACTGTATGTGTTTTATTGAACCAATGTAAAACAGATTAACATCCGATGAACCAGTACGATCATAGGAAGGGTATGAACTCAGGAAGCTTCCATACATCAAGTTGTTAGCCTGATGTATTTGCTATGTCTACACTGAGAGGTAATATTTCTCTGTGAGTCTTTTCCAGCCCTAATTGTGTATGGTGGAATTTAACCTTTTGCACACAGCACATGTACTGCCGAGTTACAATCCCTCTCTGAAATTAGATTGGCATCAGTGCCTTCTTTTTTTCAGTAAAATATATCTGCCTCCCTTTTCGTGTTTTATGAAATTGGTCTAGGAAGTTAGCTGAAATTAGTGGAAATATTGAGACACATAATTGTCCTCCTGAAGCATTTGAGAATAAAAACAGTAAACAAGGGTCATTTTCTGTTTCAAATGTTTTTTCCTTTATGAATGGAATTCTGATAAAGATTCTGTTTTTGCTGCAATGATGCAGTTTCATCTTAAGGACTTTGAGAATTGCACTAATTGTCTCTTGCCTTCATTATCATATTGGAAGAGTATAAAGGTCAGTAAGTGGGAACACCAAAACTGACCTTTTCAAAACTTTGTTGCCAGGCAGAAGAGCATTTTCCCTTAGCAACAATTGTTTTGGAGCAGGGTAGAGCAGTTGTGCACGTCAGAGGTTTGTTTGTAGCAGAGAAAGGAGTGGAAGGAGTGGAAACTTAGCTATTTCATGAGTTTACACAGCTGAATTTATATAGTGTACTAGAGGTTGCATTGTACAATCAGAAGGGCAGGAACAGACATGCAAAGTATGCAGAATAATATTAATATATTAATAGAGTGTTTTATCATCCACTTCTGACTATTCATTTACAGCAGCATCACGTTTAATTAATTTTATATGGTACGTTTTCTGAAGACTCCCGTCTTTGTCTTCAGAAGAAGCACCAATAATTATTCCTGCATATTCGGATTTAAAAATTGAAAAACAAGAGTGGGCACTACCTTTATAATACTATTATTGAACCTAAAGGTAATACCTTTTTTGAGGCAACAGAAATGCCAATAACAAAAGGCTTGTTTTCTAAACAAATTATCTAAAACGATCCTTAAACATTTATAATAAGTGGAGGTAGATATATTTTTGAAGCATCCACTGTTCCAAAACGCATTATAGAAGGTTTAAATAAAGCTTGCGTGGGACGTGGTGGCGCTGTGGGCTAAACCGCAGAAGCCTGAGCTGCAGGGGTTAGTAGACCAGCAGTCGTAAGATCGAATCCATGCGACGGAGTGAGCTCCCGTCGCTTGTCCCAGCTCCCGCCAACCTAGCGGTTCGAAAGCATGCAAATACAAGTAGATAAATACGGATCACCTCGGTGGGAAGGTAACAGCGTTCCGTGTCTAAGTCGCACTGGCCATGTGACCACGGAAGATTGTCTTCGGACAAACGCTGGCTCTATGGCTTGGAAACAGGGATGAGCACCGCCCCCTAGAGTCGAAGACGACTGGACAAAAATTGTCAAGAGGAACCTTTACCTTTACCTTAAATAAAGCTTGCAGCTGTATCCAAACTTATTTGTTTGTTTGTTTGTTTGATTGATTGATTGATTGATTGATTGATTGATTTATACCCCACCCCTCTAGACCAAAGACTACTCTGGGCGGCTAACAATAAAAAATGGAATAGAAACAATATAATGAAGTTAAAAAAAACAATAGTAATGTGGCACAAGATGTGGAAAAGGAAAAAAAGTTATAAATAAATAAAATAAATAAATCCTAAAACATTAGGAGTATAGCCAAGAAAAAGAAGTCACCTACCTGTAACTCTGGTTCTTCGAGTGGTCATCTGTGAATTCACACTAATGGGTTAATCTGCGCCTGTGCAGAGCAGTCTTGGAAGTTTCTAAAGCTCTAGGACCTGGTGCTGTGACCTAGGCTATATCCCTGCCTCCGGCACCGGGTGCCTCAGTTCCATAGAACTGTCTGCCGCTGTATAATATATCCAGTGGCCCACGTACAGCAGGGAGGAGGGCAGGAAGTGTGAATTCACAAATGACCACTCGAAGAGCCAGAGCTACAGGTAGGTAACTTCTTTTTCTCCTTTGTGGTCTCTGTGAATGCACACTAATGGTTGACTAGCGAGCTGACTTACCAGGAGGTGGGCGTCAGAACAGAAGCCAAAACAGCTCTATCTACAGCAGCCTCCACCTTGGCACAAACATCGAGGCGATAGTGTGCTGCAAAAGTGAAAGGCGTGGACCACGTCACCGCCTTGCAGATGTCATTCAGGTCCACTCCTCGGAGAAAAACCCTGGAGGAAGCTTGGGCCCAAACAATGGAGGGCAAAGGTTTATGAGCTAGCTCATATGCCAACTTAATCATTGAAACCACCCATCTGCAAAAGGTTTGAGGTGAAACCGGGGATCCATTCATCCATATAGCCAAGAACCAGTCAATCAATTTTACTTTTGCCATTTTTTTGAAAATGAAGCATGAACTATATAAACCTTTATTAATGCCAGATAATGTAAAGAGCTTCCCCTTCCCACCCAATTTAATAAAATGTTTGTATTTGGATTCAGACTGGTTGTTGCATTACAAAGCTCCTTTAAGCCTTGAATGGCTCCAAAATATAGCTTGATGCCCTATTCAATTTTTGTTATCTTACTGAAAATTTATTTACTATATTTTGATTCAATTGAAGAACAACCATTAATAGGAAGTTTTTTTAATTGGAAAACCATTTTTCGGGTGGACAATACACTAGGGTCTAATCTGTGGCCAGTAGCTTCTCTTCATCAATCCATAATTTCCTGTCTCAGTGAGTATTTAAGATTTAATCTCATTTGCACAAGTCACCTGATTATGCTAAACAGGTTAAAACAAGTTCTTTCTCCAAAATTCAACACTAATACTTCCTTCAAAGAAGTAAGCATTCCTACTATAAATTAAACAATGGTGATGACAATGACATTTGAAGAATGTAGAGATATGTGGAAGAGTGTGGCATTTGTTTGATCCTGTTTAGTATTTGTATACTTAACCTTTCTTAGTTTCTAATATGGTCTTTTTAAGATCTAAACTGCCTTGGATCTTTTTTAAGGAGAAAGGCGGGGAAGAATATTCGAAATAATAAAATAAATCAATTTATAACTTTTCACTCTTCTGCAAAGCTTCTGAAACAATGGGCCTCATCTTTATTTAAACCAAGCTGCTCTTGACAGTCAAGTGTTCACGGTTAGATTGGACAGTACTGTATAGTACAGTTAAGAGTATGCTTAAAGTGGAATATAATAAATAAAGCTAGCAAGAAGGAGTAAATGTGTTATGTTTGGATATTTATAGGGAATGAATTGCTCTGAAAGCTTGCATTATATTTATTTACCAGTCAACAATCTGATCTCATTTTTTGATTGGGTAATCTCCCTGATAGACAAAGGGAATGCTGTTGACACAGTTTATCTTGACTTTATCAAAACTTTTGACAAAGTGCCCTATTATATCCTGATTAGCAAGCTAACTAGGTGTGGGCTGGATAAATCAAGTGTCAGGTAGATACAGAATTGGTTAGAGAATCATATTTAGAAAGTGATGATTAATGGCCCCTTTTCCAACTTGGAGGAGATAACAAGTGGGGTACTCTAAGGCACAGTCCTGGGTCCAGTGCTCTTCAACATTTTTATTAATGACTTGGATGAAGGAGTACAGGGGATGCTTATCAAATTTGCAGATGACACAAAATTGGGTGGAATAGCTAATACTCTGAGATCATTGCCCTTCTGCACAAGTTACACAGCAGGATCTTAGCCACTAATTACAACACACATTGTGTAATGCAGTTTCATGTTTGTAATCCTTACTATTTCAGGTATCTTTGGGGACAATGTTTCTAAATTAATTCTACTGTAAGATGTTAGTACTTCCTTATTCAGCATTATAGTCATTAGTGGAGCAAGAAACTAACTAACGGCAAAGCCACTGGTGTAAATTTAAGATTTCTCTGCTTTTCATAAAGATCCTGATTTGCTTAAAAGAAAAGAGCAAGTGATCTCAAGCGATTCTAGGAAAATAAGCAGTATCAGCTATAAAGGTTATTTAACCAAAAAGAGCTGATTTGAGTGGTCAAAATGAAGATGCTGGTATGCTCCATCAAAAAAAATTTCTTCTAGCAGTTCCGTTTCAGCTTTCGTCTCCTATTTTTCTCCATTACCTTTCAATTACCTCTTTATCTCTTCTGTTCTTTTCCAGGAAGAAGTATTTGCCTCACATAGAACTCAGATTTCGGGGGGGGGGGATCTTCCCATTTAAACATGTATATAATCTAGATATATTCAGTGGTGGTCTAGTCCTGACTTTTGCAGGTCCTGCTGTCTTATCAAGCGATTTTGTGATTATGTCAGTTGTGATGCAGTTTACACTATCTTCTTTTTAAGTTCACAACATCTCATTGCCCTTTCTTGATTCCTTTTCTCCCCCTTTCTTGCCATTCTTTGCAGGCTCTGATACTTCACCAGCTTGGAAGGTACAGCTTGGCTGAGAAGATCCTTAGAGATGCTGTCCAGGTGAACTCAACAGCCCATGAGGTTTGGAATGGCCTCGGGGTGGTTCTGCAAGCTCAGGGTAATGACGATGCAGCAACTGAGTGTTTCCTAACAGCACTGGAGCTTGAAGCCAGCAGCCCCATCGTCCCTTTCACCATCATTCCCCGAGTCCTCTGAAGGCCGGTAAACAGGCAGTTCATCATGCTTCAGCGGAACACAGGAATGTTAGGAAGCAAATTACATAAGCCTTCCTTCTGATTCCAAGGGTGGCTCTTCAAGCTGAGAGGTAGTACCACAAAGCAGGCAATCTGGCCAGTTCTATGAGGGGATTCTGATACATGGAATATAGCATATTAATGTTAATGAAAAAAATGGCTAGCCAGAAGGAAAAAACACACACCAATACCAAACCACCACCTGTGTATTGCCTACATCTTTGCCCCCATAGTACTTTGACAGCCTGATGCTATTGTTCAAATGGGTATTGTGCCATATTTTATTAGGTGACATCTGAGTGTTATGTAAATCTCTAAATAGAATCAAACAGCAACTGTAGAATAATAGATGCAAGTTAAAATTCAGTGGCAGAGCAGTCTATTTTTATCCAAGCCTGTCAAAGACCTGTTCTCGTCATGTCTTTCAACCTCTCTCGGCCCAGGAAGAAAAAAATGTGAAATTTGCTGTGTTACATCTCTCTACCAGTTACCTAGGCCAGCAAAATCAGCTGAAAGGTTTATGTTTTTAGATGTGAATAACTGTGATGTGTAGCTAATTGTTATTCTCTTTATTTAGAAGAAAGGTTGTGTACAAGAATATTTATATTTTACCAATGTATGCCTGTTGAAAAAAAGCAGATGAAGATATTAGTTATTTAAGTTTAAATTTTTTATGTGAAACCAGAGTTTATTTATCAATGGAAATATGTAAAAAGATGCTAAAGATGGAATATTTACCGACATTCCTTATGCATTATACACCCACTTGGCTCTATGGGAAGATTATGTTAATAATAAAAAATGATTTTTGAATGGATACAGTGCTTCTCATGTTTGTTTCGAAAGGAGCGGTGCTCTTGGAACTTGGTGAGTTCCTGTCTCATCACTCTACGGAATAAAAAGAATGAAATTTTCATGGATATACTGTATGATCACCTAGCAGTTTTATCATTCCTTTTCGTTTCAGACAACATTGGATTGGATTGATGGAGCCCTCTGCTGTGCCATGAGAGGCATGCAGAAAACCATGCTTTTATTAATGCGCAACACAACCCGTGCCATCCTTCACCTCACAGTTAAATCCTATCGTGTTCATTATGGCTTCTTCCTAAGTAAATGCCCAGAGGATTGCAATCTTGAAAAACATTTGGAAAGTGGGTAGGAACAAACATTGGTAATGCAGTCAGTTCGGAATGATTACTTTTTATGCCTCCTCATCTCTCAAACTCGGGGCAGATGTCTGCTCTGGGAAAAGGTCCAGTTCCATCATTAAATCAGAAGCTCGAAGGTACTTACACAAAACATGCTGGTTCAGTCTGTCCAAGCCCTCCAAGAAGTGGCTTTCGGGTTATCCATCCGAGGCAGGCTGATCTCTTTGACAAACAGCAGCTAGTTGTTGCCTATGCTTTCTCTTGGCTCTTGGAGCACAATTTGCCGTCTTGCGTACTTTTCATTTGGTTTATTATCCTTGATTGAAGCAAATCCTTCCTTTATGCTTAAGTGAAGATTGGGTGGTCTACTAATGCAACTATAAACTGGTACAGTGGACCCTTGACTTACAGACGGCTTGACTTACAGACTTTTTGAGTTACAGACTTCTCTGGCCGCAAAATTTAGGTTTGACTTTTAGACTGAGATTTACAGACCAGGAAAAAACCAAAATGGAACAAAAACGGCCTGTTATGGGATTAATCGGTTTTCAATGCACTGTAGGTCAATGGAGACTTGACTTACAGACTTTTTGACTTGAGAACCGCCTTCCAATACGGATTAAGTTCTCAAGTCAAGACCCCACTGTATATGGGAGATTTTCTTCAGAGGGCCAGACATGCTATGTGAAATCCTTATTCTCAGGGAAAGCAGCAACTCAAGTAGACACAACAAAAGGTAGCCAGCTCAGAATCCAGAGTAGAGCTGACTAGATGGGCGGTATAAAAGCTAAACAAACTTGGTTGAGAGTCATGTGAATTTTGAATTCTCTTCAGAGAGAAACTATTAAAAAAGTATGCTCAGGTGAACCACTGAGTTACTCAAGATGTGGTCTTTTCCTTGCTATGTGTAGTTGTAATTTCCAGGATTTAATTCTGAGAAGTTGCTGGCACAGTGTGCCATTATCTGATCAGGATGCTCTGATATGTGAGACTAATACTAACATGATGGCATTACTTGTAATGCTGTGGTGCTAATAGCTAATAGCCACTTATGTTTCTATAATACGTCCTAAGGAAGAACTGTAAATTTCTCTTAGACCTGCCATGCATTACTTGGAGCAGATAAACAGGTTACATTAGTACAAGGCATTATTAAAGGTAAAATTATCAAGCACATAAAAGGACATGTCTCTCTGAAGAATATTCGGCATGGGTTCTGCAAAGGTAAGTACTGTTTCATTAACATTTTAGAGTTCTTGAAAGCGATGGGAAATTTTGGTAGGAATCTTCTGTTATATATTATTTTCTTAGACCTCTAGAAGGCTCACACCTGGGTGCCAGAAAATTCTTTGCATCAATATCAAATGCAGCTCAAGGAAGAGGAAGTGCAATGATTCCCATTGATGCAAAGGGCTCCTGAGCAAACTTAGAAGTCATGATTTAAGGGATGAGATCCTTTTATAAATAGCTAGCTAGTTAAAGAACAAGAAGGAACAATTAGGAGTAAGTGTACAGTTCTGATGACAAGAGGATATGCCAAGAACACATGATACTTCTTGACATGTCCAGATATGACATGAAGTTATGGCTGAGCAGTGTGGTGTCCAAAGTTGCTAACTTCACAAAATTATTTATGAGGGTTCAAACAAGAGCCAATAGGGAGGAGTGCCAGAAGATTTCTGCAAACTGGGGAAATGAGCATCAAGATACTAAATGCAATTCAAGGAAGATGAGGTGAAGTGATCCATATTGGGGCAAAAAAAAAATCCTCATTTTAGATTAGGCATCCTTTAGTCTCGAGAGACTATGGTAATGTGCTCTGAATAGATGACTTGGAACAGCGTCCAATGTTGCTGAGAAGGCCAATTCAAGAGTGACCATCCCTTCCACACTGAAGACAAATACAATCTGTCCCCTGTCCGGTTCCCTGACTTTGCTGCTTTCGGAACTGCCTCTTTGCCTCGGCCTGCTGGACAAGTGTCTCTTCAAAATGGGAGAGGCCATGATGCACCGTCTGCCTCCAGGCTGAATGCTCAAATGTCAAAGTTTCCCATCTGTTGAGGTCTGTTCCTAAGGCCTTCAGATCCCTATATTCGTGAAGGCTTTCACGGCTGGGATCTAATGGTTGTTGTGGGGTTTTTGGGCTCTTTGGCCGTATTCTGAAGGTTGTTCTTCCTAACGTTTCGACAGTCTCTGTGGCCGGCAACTTCGGAGGACAGCACTCTGTGCTCTGGTGTAGTTGGCTTGGGAGTGGAGTATTTATGGCTGTATTTACTGTCTACAGAAAAGACAAAAACGGCTTTTCTACAGAAAAAGACAAAAGCCTATCTCACTGCCATAAATACTCCACTCCCAAGCCAACTACACCAGAGCACAGAGTGCTGTCCTCCGAAGTTGCCGGCCACAGAGACTGTCGAAACGTTAGGAAGAACAACCTTCAGAATACGGCCAAAGAGCCCAAAAACCCCACAACAACCATTAGATCCCAGCCGTGAAAGCCTTCACGAATATAGGGATCTGAAGGCCTTAGGAACAGACCTCAACAGATGGGAAACTTTGACATTTGAGCATTCAGCCTGGAGCCATGCATGATAAAAATTCCAGCTCGTTCTAGGGCTACTCTATTTGGAACTTTGTCCTCCCAGGTGATACCAAAAATGCGTTGGAGACAACGTGTATGAAACCTGTTCAGCTTCCTCTCCTGCTGTGCACAAAGGGGCCAGGATTCACTGTAGTACAGGAGTATGCTCAGGACACAGGCTCTATAGACCTGGATCTTGGTTTATGCCATTGTGAGGGTTCAACTTGAGGCTCCTTTCTTCGATCAAATAAATCAGGACAATTTTGTAATTTTGAAATGGGTGAGGTTTATTGGCATATTTTACAGATAACCGGTGTCACCAAAATTGTCTCATCATTTCTCTCCTGCTGACAATGGGTCAGTCAGGGCTCCCATCCTTCAACTAGGAACGGGTTTCCTTCACCCGAGTTCCACGGGCCCAGCCAGTCCACTGACGAATTAGGGTTCACCTTCTGATCTGCCACTCCATCCAGCAGGGGAACGGTGTCATCGTCCCGATCGTCCATCCACCGGGCATATCCGATCGATGTGGGGGTCACCCAGGGTCCTCCCTGTATCCCTTCCTCCTCATCTTGCTCACCCTCCATTCTATTCTCTCCCTGCTTTCTCTTTCAACTCTATCCTTTTCCTCTCTTAGCTTTCTCCGCCACTCCCTAGTTTCAGCTTTTCCCCAATAAGAGGGGAAATCAGGGGGCATCTCCACCGTCTGTAATCAGCCTCTTCCTTTGGGACGCTTAATCTTTCCTATGCGCCAGTCCAGGGATCCTCTATCCAGACCCATTCCCAACCTGGCGGCAACTGTTCCTCCTTCCTCTTTATATCTGCTGCCCCCGCCTCTATCTCCACCCTTTTTCTCCACTCTACTCCAACCATTTTTCCCTCAGTTCCTTTGACAGTTAACTTTCGTATTTCTCCCTCCAGTTCCTGTGTGTCTGTGCCTCGCTGCCCCATTCTCTCAGGAGATGAGGTGGGCAAGGTCTGTACCTCTTTCTCGACTGAGGAGGAGGGACGGCACTCTGGCAACGCCCCCTATCTCACAGCCATCAGCTTTTTAGGAGGGACGGCACTCTGGCGAGAGAGCTACCACTCTCGCCCCCTATCTCACAGCCATCAGCTTTTTATTAAGCCATTCTTTGTGAGTCTAGAGAACATGGAAGCTGCTTTGCCAATGTGTTTATCCAGCTTGACATCTAGGGAGAGAGTATCAGAGATCATTGAGCCAAGGTACACAAAGTCATGAACAACCTCCAATTCTTGCGTGGAGGTAGTAATAGAGGGAGGTGAGTCTACACCCTGGCTCATGACTTGTGTTTTCTTCAGGCTGAAGAAAAACAATCCTCATTCTACATATATGCTAATAGGATCTGTGTGATCTAAGACAGGACCTTGCCACAGGTAGCTTCATGAAAATACCAAACCAGAGTAGATCTGTATTGAAAAAGGCAAGTTCTAGGCAGGAATTGATGAGAAAGGAAATGAAAATAAAATATATGTTTACACAAGATTGTAATGCATTTATACATATACAGAACAGTTTTAAATTGCTTTGTCCTGCTGTGTAAAGACAAGCCAAGCAAACATTTCCATTCCTTCCTGAGAAGTTTAACCTTTGTGAGTTCCAGACTACAGATCTGATCCAGACTGATATATGGATCAGAAATATAATGCCCCCAGGAGAAGGGAAAGACAAACCTCTACTGACTATACCTAGAAAACCTTGGAAAGGGTCACCATGAGTTGGAATCAACTAGATGGCTTGTCATTATCATCATCATTACTATTATGCTTTTGGTGGTCATTTTCTCAAGCTGCACAAAGAAATTCTCAGCTCAAAACAAAACATACTAGCATGCATTTAAAAAAAGATCAGTTAAAATGCCTTTAGAAATTTATATTTTATAAGGAAATATGTTCAAAAATGTACATTTAAAGAAACATTTTCATACAGGTTTTTGTTTCAAATCACAGCTTAATCTCAACAGAATACATACAAATTAAGACACATGAGGCTGATACAGACTAGAAATAGACAGATCCCTCCATCTCTAATAAACTGACGTAAACGTCATATGAGCATCTGACAGG